TATTTTGTGTTCTCACATCCCCCTAATATGCCAACCTGGCACTGGTCTAGTGTTTGGCACAGAGATGCTCTTTAAGGCGCCGTGTACCAGCTCTGAACCGTAAGTATTCACCTCAGGACGTTTTGAACCCAAACTGCACGATGTCCTGGAACAAGATTTAAGGCATTAATGTTGGGAGAGTGTAGTTCTGAGAGTATATAAAGAAATATGGACATAAAAGTAGTCTGACAAATTTAATCAAGGTTCTCTGGTGTCATCTGACTTCGTGCCAGACACTGAGAGACTCTGAGGTCCTGGCAGAAGCTTTGATTTTAGTCCTGCTATTTATTTGACAGCTAACCTTGAGAGACTAAGCCAAAGATCTTTAATTGAAGTGATAAGTAATGATATATCTCCACTCAAAAACATTTTTAAAAAAGCAATTAATGAGTGCATGTAATTCCTTAGAGCTGTTAATTAAAGCAGTGTTTCTGTGATGCTGCAGGCAATAAAAAAACGCTAAAACTAAAATTTTTGTTTCTAAAGTTGGGCTATTCAGACTTTCTGTTTTATCCAACCTAAACTAAGGTTGTATAAAGTGTATTTAAAGTCAGGAATGGATGCATAAGCTGCAGAAATAAAACTGATGAACTCTAGATATGAATAACCTTAAGGCTCTGTGCCAACGCTGGCTTCTGTTTAATTTCCACCAAAGGGTGTCTGTCCTCCAGTTCAACCCCATCAACAGGCCGAACGTGGGGTCTTGTTCCAGTACATCTGGAGAGATGTCTGCCACAGCAGCAGCAGCAGCCGCCAAGGCTTTAATGGCTCCGCCGAGGAGAGAAAGACGGGTGCAAGGCCACCGCTGGCTGCATCCTTCCCGTATATATGAGATTGAAAGAGGGGGAGGGTCTGTAGCAGGAAACCTTGAATCTGGTGAGTAACACAGGACACGCTGGAGATGGTAAATAGGATCTTGCGCCTGGTCTGCAGAGTCAGTTACTGGTATCGATTTCCAATATGTCAGGGTTGTTCTCCTCTTTTTTTCCAATCACAGTGTTAATTTGTTAGAGTGGTAAACAAGATGTGTCCCGTTTCCTTAGAACTGCAGAATGGTCCTGTTTTATTTATGCTGTGTATTTATAACCTTTAGGCAAACAGTGAAAACAACTTGTTTCTCCAGGCCTTGATGTGTAAATGATGGTGTAAAACTGGGGAGGGAGCAGAGTGATGAAACAACCAGTGGAAGTGCAGCAATACCCTGCTTCATGCGCCGCAGCAGCTTCACCGGTTACCTTCACGTCATCTGCTGCATCATTTGTGCTGTTTGCACAGTTTGTTCCACAACATAAATCCCATGCCGATGCTAACCTGCAGTCTCTAAAAACAGTCTCTGGATGCACATGATTCAAGTTAAGCTTCCAAATTTACTGTCGTGACTTCAGAGACGATGAGTACTCTGAGATCAGCACATTATTAAGAGAGGGACTCGAAATATCCAGCATGAGTAATCTTACTGTGACTAATCATCCAACCAGGTAATAGAGGTTAAACTAAATCAGAGCGTGAAACAGCAACAATGCCAAAAAAATGAGAAACAAATTGCTGCATGTTAGAGTGTGATTCAAAACTAAGCTCTGAACGTCCTTACCGGCGTTTTTGTTGGGTGACTGATCAGCATTTTTAAAGTTTCAAGGACAGGGAAGGAAGAAATGTTCCACCAGTTTAAGCCAAATGATGAAAATGGAAAAGTATTTGGAGAAAAGTCTAAAAGTTGTTTTTCTAAACTTAGTTTAATCCTCTGCAGCCATCAGCCTTAATCCTAACCTTAACCCTAGGCACTCAGAATATTTGTGTTTTTAAATGAAATTTTTCTCCCGAGTCATGGAAATAAAGGAACAAGGAATTATTTATGTTTTCTATTAAAAAAGGTTATTTTGGCTTTGTCCAAAATATAAAGTTCGCGATAGGATTACTGAGAGTTACAATAAGCTGAAAAAGGAAGCAAAGAGCAAAAGAAATTATTCACAAACCTGCCTCAGGGGGCTTTCTGATCTACACTCACATGCACTTCATTAGGTACACCTGTTTAACCATCCATTCATGCAAACATCTAATCAGCCAATTATGGCTGAAACTCAGTAAATTTGGGCACATAGATGTGGTCAAGGTGACCGTCTGAAGCTCAAACTGAACATCAGAATGGAGTAGAAAAGTGTGACTTTAACCTCAGCATGGAGGTTGATGCCAGGATGGCTGGTCTGAGTATTATGGCAGGAGATAATAATAAAGTTCTACTGATGCAAAAATCTGTATTCAGTTTGCAAGAGTTCACATGTGTTGTTTAAAACTTTGGACTCTTCAACAGCTACTCAGTAACTCAGCTACTAGTAATCTTTTCTATATTAGACAAGAGACGGCGGACCAGCTGACTGGCCACACACTGATCGGGAATTAGGCCCATTTTGCTTTTCACTAGCAGGTTAAATTAATGAAAGATTCAAAAAGGCTATTTTAGGAAGTCTTGATGGCCACAGGCCATTATGTTCTCAGCTATGATTCAGATCTCTTCAGATATGT